CCGGCCTCCCTTCTATAGACCTTTTCCGCAAGGGCGCCGCCATCTTGAATTGTCGTCACTTCCAGTATGGGCGACGACAAAATAATAAAACGTTTCAACCTGTAACTAGCAAAAAAATAGAGGGGAGCCAAAACGAGAATGTGTGACGGTTAGGCTTATACCCTAAATGTCTTCTATTGGTGTGGCGACGGCAAAACAATGTTTTCGCCCAAACTGGAAGTGACGACAATTCAAGATGGCGGCGCCCTTGTGGAAAAGGTCTATACTCGTATGTGGATAGCAAAGTCGTCTGCTTCTTGCGCAGGAGATGCGGTGACGTCATAAAGACGCCGAGCTGTAATTGGCTCCGATTGAAGGATTGTGGGTAGACCTCAAAACAAGCTGACTTGAGGTCTACCCACTATCCTTCATTCAGAACCAATTAGAGCTCGGCGTCTTTATGACGTTACCACAACCCCCGCAAAAGAAGCAGACGAACTCGCGCTCCGTATAGTCAGGCGACGACGCGACGCATGCGCACCTGCGACCAATCTACCTAGCTGGCGTCCGCCATTAAATTGCAAACGCCCTCCGTGGCTCGAGTTGCTCCCACTCCGAAATCTAGATTCCCCGCGTAACGTTTTGTTGATATATCTGCAGCAATATTAGACGACCTCCTTCCAAGCGGCGGATAATGCGCCGCCGGCGCTGTGTCATATATCGTCTCGAGTCTTCGAAGGTATACGGGCGCGCCGAATGCACCGCGATTCCCCTTGGATAAAAGAAAAAGAAAAAAAAGGGAGTTTTATTTTAGAGGAAAGGTCAGTTGTGCGTGTATCCATGCACCGGGTCTTGTAAATGGACAGCCGATGTTGTTGTTGCCCATTGAGCAGCCTCGTTCCGAAAAAATAAAAATTGGGTTGTGTGTGTGTTTCTACAGCCTAGAACTTGGTCTGCCTCACAGGGGCGACGAGTCTCCCAGCTGTATTGAGCAATTTAGCCAGTGCAGTACAACCGCTAGCCTGGGGTCTTTAACGTGCACCACGCAGTAGTGGTAGTGGTACACGACCGCACGCCGGTACGATCGATGCTCATCCAGATCGAAACGGGCAGGGGTGGGGCTCGAACCCAGGATCCCTGGGTTCCTCGCTCCGAATGTTAGAACTCCGCCGCGAGGAACGAGCCGTACGCCATGTTTTGACAAAACCAAAACAGAAGATGACGATGTTTATTGGGATTGCGTCAGGTGCGATGGCTGTACAAGAAAACGAAAATTGAGTTTCCTCACGTACGGGAGCCAGAGTTGCGCGTCTGTTTTCCACGTGCCGCCGAGCCGCTATTCGCTGAGATCCGATCACGTGAGGAGCCGGATCAAGTGCCCTGCAGGAAAGTAGACGTTGCGCGCGCCCCGCCGAACGTTCCCCTGCTTTTGAGCGCGCCACGCGCCTCGAACGCGCGGCGCTGCTATTCGCCGAATTCAGCCATATGAGGAGCTGGATCAACATGCCACGCAGGAAAGACGGCGCTACGGGGATGAACGCGCAACTCTGGCTCCCGTGGGGAGCCTATGCAGGGACTCTAGGTCCGACGAGATGCATTGTAATTGCAGCTGTCTGTTATACACACAAAAAAAAAATATGAAACTACTCGGCGTCAGCCTCTTGTGTATGGCGTTATATGGCGTGTATACCTTCCCCAGCGCCCCAAATGTTGTGTAAAGCCACTCGTGCGAGAGGTTAGTCGAAGTCACGTGCTCTCGGAGCATTGCGGGGCTCCAACACTGTGGAAACTACGCCCCGAGCATGTCGAGGGTATCATCGGTGGCTCATGGTGTGTTAGCGGGCCGCAGCTCGGAGCACATGAAGAGAAAGCTGGCACTGCCCTATAGCAACTCTACCAGTTTCTAAACGGGTATCTGCCCGTTTAGAAACTGGATCGTACCGGCGTGATGCCGTGTATACCACCGCTGGATGATGCATGTTAAAGCAGGATAGCGGTAGTACTGCACTGGGGAAATTTCTCATCCATACCGGAGGCGCCCACAGTGGCTCTTCCCGCAGTCTGACCATATACGCGCAATTAACTATGTGTACTCTCAAAAAAAGTTGTCGACAAGTGTCCCCGATTTGCCTGAAAATTTGCTAAACGCGCCAACAAACGTCGCTGAAGTAGTAACCAAAATATTGGGTCGAAATATTTTTTTTTCGCGATGTTTTTAAATTAACCATTTTGTTTTTCTTTTTTTTTTTTCGAGTGAAAGGCTTTATATTGGCAGCAATGGAAAAGTGACGTCAGGGGAAGAGAGGGTTTCACTGCTGTACGTAGACTTTGTTACCAACTTATTACAAACAGTCTCAGGGTGTCAAATGAAGGCTTTCGAAGCTTAATCCTCTACCCTCTCTGGAATTCTATTTAGTAGAAATAAACTTTGGTTCAGTGGACTGCCGAAATGACCCTTCTTAGGCAGTGAAAAAGTAGTACGCAATGCATCCAGTTCTTTGTTTCTTTTTTGTGTAAAATTTTTCTAGGCGTAGGTGTGCAGACTCCTGCAGTGTAGCGGTGGAACTCGTCCCCTAGATTTCATGATATGTGCATCAAGCAAAATTCTGGTGAGCTCATCGAATATGGCAATTTGAGAGCCATTGCGACGTCCTTAATGTCAACTGGTAGAGTGCCACTGTTGAAACTCAGTAAGCATTGCAGTTTTCGTGAAAAGATGATGTCAAATCAACAAGCACAAAGAGCAGAGTGACTCTGATAAAAGCATCACATTAAAGTGTCCTCTTTTATGCGATGCTTTTATCAGAATCACTCTGCTCTTTATCCTTGTTGATTTGAATTTTTTTTTTCACGAAAATCGCAGTTGTGTCTATATATAGTTTGCAGAATTTGCAGTTCGAGAGGGTATCTGCGAATTCTAGGGTTTCCATCGAGCCTGCTGAAGTCGCGTGAACTCCAAGCGCTGACGCTCGGCGTCTCGAGGTGTAACCCACTCAGCTTCGAACTATGATTTAAGAAACATACTACAGTCGTTCCATCAAATTCAACTTCGTCATTCCGCAAAAAAAAAAGAAAAGAAAAGAAAAAAAGAATGGCTTAAAACAACGCAAAAAGACGAGGGACCAGTAAAAGGAAACACACAGGCACAGCGCTGAGTCTGTGTGTTTCCTTTTACTGGTCTTTCGTCTTTTTGCGCTGTTTTAACCGATTCAATATGGTCATCAACCAACTCGCCCAACTTTACACCTTGCTGAAGAAAAACAGCATCGAATTGTGCATTATATGTAATACACGCACGAAAACAAGAAACACTTAACTCCAAAATGAGACACTGCTTTCTGGAGAATTGTTTTTCTTGGTTTACACTTTATTGCAGTTCCAAATCATGACCACTTCGAAAGGATGTCCAATGCTTCATCAAGTGGATATGAAGTAGAATTATACGTTCCAACTTGTTCCAGCTTTGGCGGTGTCTATCCTATATCCGCCATTGCGCCAGCTCCCAACATAGAGCACGTACGAGGTGTCTATTGACATTGTAGGAAACGGCATACACTCGGGGTCAAAGAGTTACTTCGATAGCGGACCTCGGGTGGGGGATTATCCGTCAGAGAAGATAACTCTCGTTTATCTCGCTCTTTCATCGAGCGACTAAACGAACTAGATAAGTGGTTCCTTTTATCGGCGAAGGCAACCCTCGAACGCACGATCCCTCGCAGCGACATTAGGGAGTTTTCGTAGATCGTTTTCGTCGTCCCGCAAGGCCCTCCGCAACCGCTACGATAGCGGGAACTCCACAGTCAAGGCTATCGGCGCGCAGGCGCAGTAGCAACTTCTTCGTTGCGGAACGCTTAGCGGAGGGGGCAGCGCGGTCTACGAAAACTCCCTATTGTAGCAGCACGCGAGCGAGAAAACGCCCTACCCAAAGCAGTCGGGGCGGCCTGGGCTTTTTCCCGCCATTCGGCTTTCGCGCACACGGCGGCGCCCCAAGGCCAAACAAGATGCCGACCCGACCGTTCGACAGGTTTTGCTCGTCCGAGAATAGGCGAGGAACCACCCGAAATAGAAGCCCAGAAGAACCCAGACGCTTTACAATGCAGCGGATCCCGCCACGCCAGTATCGGTCGGCCTGAACATTGGCCAGTTTGTGCGCCCATATTTGAACAGCGATCTAACAAAGATCGCTCGTCTACTGACGCAGCGAAAGACACAGCTGCAGAAATCTCAGCGGGTGGCAAAACAATGCGCGACCCCGCGAGCTGCCCTTGAAACAAAGAAAAACAACAAAAGAGAGCGCGACACCGACGGCATCTAGCATGGGAGCAAAATCGAAACGGTCTCTTCTTAATGTGGCGCTACGCTGCACCAAGATTCGTTGAGAGTACGAAGAGAACACCCGAGAAAAAACAAGAAAAGGAGGTCGAAACATCTTGGCCGCCAGAATCGAGGATGAATTTTTTTCCCACCTCCGTCGCATTCTTTTTTTCTCACACGTAACAAACGTACACTACGTACTTGCTGCCGTTGGAAAAGCCACCGCGAAAAAGCATCGGACGGCCAAGCGGCCGGGCCCACACCGCTGCAATGATCTTCACCGTTGTTGCTGTAAAAAAATGCGCTAGGTCGGCCGATTACTGCAGCGGCGGCAGGAGCAGAAGCACAGAGGGCCATCTTCTTTTCTTCGTTTTCTTTCCCTGCCAATTACCGAGTGTACAGCACACACACTGCAAGTCTGGACGAACGAAAGCAGAAAAAAAAGAAAAGAAACGCGATCGTGCCGACCGTGCCGGCGAGCCACTCAAGCATACAGCGACCCTCGGCGCCGGTGGCGCGGCGCGACGGCCTCGGCGAGCAGCTTCAAAGAAATTCCGGGTCGCCGGAAGGTGACGTCACGCGCCATATAAGGGCATACTGAGCGACGCTCCCTCCCGATTGGCTGGAGCGGACTTCCGGCGCCGGGCGCCGTCCAATGGGGCGCCGCGCGAGCTCTTCGCTACCATATATGGGTATCTGGTTCTCCGATTTGAAAGAACGCTAACGCACGTGCGATAAAAAGGCCGGCAGCCGCGTTCAGCCATCGCAGTCGTCCCTGGATTCGTTGGGAGCTTCAGTGCGAACGTAAAATTCTCTGTGTAAGTTTCTCCTGCGAGCCGTGGGCTTGTGTTCGCTTCGTCGAGGAGTTCTCTTTTCGGACGCTCTAGGGCTCTCCCCCACCCACCCCTACCCACCGGCTCTCGGTAGCCCGCTTTTGGATTACAACCGTCCGGCTCCTGTGCGCCCAATTTTCGAACGGGGGACCCCTTCGAGAACGTTTCGGCGCTGCTCGAAACTCGATCGCCTCGAATTCTGAGCGGCATCCGAAGGCGATTTTTTCGGGGTGTATTTGACAGCTAGCGGGCTGGTGGTTCCCCAAATTAGGAGGTTGGTGGGTTGCGCCTGCGGTTGGCGGGGTCTTTAAAAACGAGTCTTCCTCCCCGGGCCCCTACCGCGCAGTGTGGGGGGTTGTGGTGCGGAGATCGGACTCGGTGCTTGACGGCGTCGTTCTTTGTTCTCCCGGCAGATTTCTCCGATTCGACCGGCTCGTCCGCCCCACCCCAACACAGCAAGATGTGCGACGACGATGTGGCTGCCCTCGTTGTGGACAACGGCTCCGGCATGTGCAAGGCCGGCTTCGCCGGCGATGACGCTCCCCGCGCCGTGTTCCCGTCCATCGTCGGCCGCCCCAGGCATCAGGTGTGTACTTCGCCCGCTATGTTCCCACCCCACGAGAAGGCTCCGTTTTTACGGCCATCTTAGGACGCTTCTTTGAACGCGCACTCTCTAACAGTTCTTTTCCGAAGCTTAAACGGTTGGAAAGCAAGTTTAAACCGTGTTCTTGGAATAACTTTGAATGCTAGTAAGCGCCAAATATGCTCTCGCGCCGGTTAACGTGGGGAATTCGCACGAGTTGCGCGAAGCTCGCCGGGTCGGGAAAGTAGTGGTTTTAAAAAATGTACCTGTAGAGTATTTAACTTGCTGCTCGGCACGAAATATGCGCTGTGACGGTTAACGTGTAGCGTGAGCTCATGTTTGCTGGCAGCGAGTCGGCATTCCAATAGTTGTCCGCGCCGCGAACTTGGGAGGCTATCCTGCTAATTGAATTGCAAATGTGGCGACGAGGCACGCGAGAAGCCCCTTCCTGTGTGCCGCGTCATCGCTGCGTCGGGGAGAGGGAGGGGGGCAGCGCTTCTCCATGCGCGGCGCCGCGGTTTGCCCATATAAGGAGAAAAGCCGGCATGAGTCACGTGGCTCCGGGGAAAAGGGGCGGGGCACCCTTTGTTTTGACGTGGCCGGTGCCGTCGGCCTCGTTCGACAGGGAGTGCGACGCCGCCGTCGCCGCGGCGTTGGTTTGCGCTGCTTCATCGATCGGCCAGTCCGCCGCGCCGGTCTCTTGACCGGCGCGGTCAGACTGCATTCGATTGAGAACTGCGAGTATTTTTGAGGATGACTCTGTGGAGTGGATGTGTCACGGCGATCGGCAACGCCGGCGCCCGAGGGGCGTGGCACTGTGCGCTCCGAGGTGCGCAGCCGGCGCGTTGACATTTTTGTTTAAAGTGTTGTTTACTTATATGCGGAATTACAGATCTCGATTTTGTTCGTTGTTTTAAATAAAATCGTCCCGTGTTCTCATTTAACCTCAGCGGAGGTAGGCACCAAGGCGGCCAAACACGTGCAGATAGGCGAGCACACGCTCGTCTGTCGTACGTGTTATTATTTTTTTTTTTTCAGTATCCTTTCTTCCTTTTTAGCTCTTTATTTTCGAATGATTTTGTACAGACCAGACCTGTTTCCTGCGCTTCCATTATTACAGCGCGCTTCAGAATTTCGAGACTAAACGCTAAACGTCTTTAATGGCTGGCAGGTGCCCCTAATAACCACACAGGGCTTGTCCTTCGTATCTGCCCCGCGCTGGCCTGACCTTCACTCCGCGTGTGCACCGTGCAGGGCGTGATGGTGGGCATGGGCCAGAAGGACAGCTACGTGGGCGACGAGGCCCAGAGCAAGCGTGGCATCCTGACGCTCAAGTACCCCATCGAGCACGGCATCGTGACCAATTGGGACGACATGGAGAAGATCTGGCACCACACCTTCTACAACGAGCTCCGCGTGGCCCCCGAGGAGCACCCCGTTCTGCTGACTGAAGCCCCCCTGAACCCCAAGGCCAACCGGGAGAAGATGACTCAGATCATGTTCGAGACTTTCAACACCCCGGCCATGTACGTGGCCATCCAGGCCGTGCTGTCCCTGTACGCGTCCGGCCGTACTACGGGCATCGTGCTCGACTCCGGCGATGGCGTCTCCCACACCGTGCCCATCTACGAGGGGTACGCCCTGCCGCACGCCATCCTCAGGCTGGACCTCGCCGGCCGGGACCTCACAGACTATCTCATGAAGATCCTCACCGAGAGGGGCTACTCGTTCACCACCACTGGTGAGTTGGGGGTTGTGCTTCGACTTAATGCACTTCCAGTAGTTAATTAGGTGTAGTATGCATGGTGCCCTGCCAAGGTGACTCGTTTCTGACGCCACTACTTTGTCCTCTTTGCAGCCGAGCGTGAAATTGTCCGCGACATCAAGGAGAAGCTGTGCTATGTCGCCCTGGACTTCGAGCAGGAGATGGCCACAGCCGCCTCTTCCTCCTCCCTGGAGAAGTCCTACGAGCTTCCCGACGGCCAGGTCATCACGATCGGCAACGAGAGGTTCCGTTGCCCCGAGGCCCTGTTCCAGCCCTCGTTCCTGGGCATGGAAGCGTGCGGCATCCACGAGACCACGTACAACTCCATCATGAAGTGCGACGTGGACATCCGTAAGGACCTGTACGCCAACACGGTCCTGTCCGGAGGCACCACGATGTACCCAGGCATCGCCGACCGCATGCAGAAGGAGATCACCGCCCTGGCGCCGTCCACCATGAAGATCAAGATCATCGCTCCTCCCGAGCGCAAGTACTCCGTCTGGATCGGCGGTTCCATCCTGGCCTCCCTGTCCACCTTCCAGCAGATGTGGATCTCCAAGCAGGAGTACGACGAGTCCGGCCCCAGCATCGTGCACAGGAAGTGCTTCTAAGCTCCCGGCGGGACTTCTCGGCCTCCCCGATCCCGAGGACTTTGCGTGTACCGGGGCTACGGTGCTCTGGCGGGTGACGGGAGGGTGAGGGCGCGGGGGTTCTACCAGAGTTCGACTGCAACCAAAAAGAAAAAAATTGGAGGACGGCGGTTCTGGGCGACTCGGCCGAGGTCCTTGTGCGGCCGTCGACTGCAGCGGCGGTCCGCGCCGGTGGACGTGCGACAGAACCGCGATGTCCTCTCCAACGACGTCCCTCCCGGGCGGCCGGGCGCTGGCTCGCGTCCGTGGCCGTCACGAGCCGGTGGGGCGCTGCGCTCGCTGCGTCTGCCGGCGGTTCTTCAAGTATTCAGAACGAGGCGGTTGCCCGAGGACGGATGCATCGACACAAAGTGTTCCTGGATTTTTTTTTCTTCCAGATGTGCAAAAGAAAATTGTATTTATGAGAAGTGTTTATAACTGAAATAAATTCTCGCCATTACCTTAAAGCGATTTCAGTTGTCCTGTGTCCAAAACGGCAAGTCTCTGCAGCATCACTTCATTTGGCACCGGGGCTCCTCCGTCTATATGATCTGCGAGATCTGCAACGTTAGGGGGTTTTCGTCACCAAAAGGTTTCTTTGTACGGTGGCTCCGCGGTGTAGTTGTGCGTGTGGATCGAAATATTTCATGGGTAGAGCGTCTGCGATCTGTTTTCCATTCAATATTAGCAATGCAGTCTCGTTTCTCGGCTATCGGATAAATTTTAGATTAAAACTTGCAGATTGTAACGAGTGGTTTTAAGTCCGTGTGAGCCGACCGCATTGAAGGCCAAGGTTCAAACGGGCTGAAATCGGAATTCTCTGGTTGCACTAAGAACTATATATTTATATTGTTATTACTTTTTTTTTTTTTTTTTTTTTTTTTTTAGTTGTCCTTTTAAAGAAATTAATATTTATCGAGAATGGCGAGTACGAAGCTAGGCAGAAGTGTTTAGATCTTGAGGAGCCCATCTTGAACAGCCGACCAATCTTCATATTACAGGGGTGAAACGGCAGTGTCATTTGCGCCGAACACATTTCTCTGCGCCATGTTATGGAAACGGCGCCATTGTGCGCCAAATCGCTAAACGTGCGCCAAAAAGTTGTATTTTATCTTGGTTTCGGTTTCTATCGACTCGGCAAAAATGAGCGCGTTTAGCCTGGTCGACCTTGCAATCCTTTGTTCTGTTTATTCTCCCTGTGTACCCCGAGTTGGAAGCGCGCGAAAAAACTCGGGGGTGTGATTCCAAGCTCTACACCACCTGCGACTGGATTGTTATTCATCAACCATAAGCGGTTAAGAATGTCGGCCGAGGTGAGGTCGAGTCGTTAAGCGATCAGATTGCCTAAGGCTCTGCCCAGGATCCGGACGTCAGCCAGTTGTAAACAAATGAGCAAACGATTCTTTTTGGTACTTCATCGTTAGAAGTTGGAACCCCATTCCGCAATATAAATTGTGAGAACTGAAACGCGGTCCGATTCGAAACCTTGCGGCCATCAGCTCTCACGCGACTAGTAGATCTGCTCTGCGTACTTTAACCTTCCTCCTGTTTATCGCTTTGAATACGATAACTCCGTTAATCAACGGAGTTATGGTATTCATATCGAAGCCTGCTGCTTCAATATTGAGTTGCACAACAGTATAGACTCAAAATTTGTTGCCCTGGTCCTCCGCGCAGCTGCTCGTCCGTTTCTTACGCAAGTCACGTGGTTCGCACATATAATTACTCTGTCGAGCACGTGTGGGTTCTGCGATAAGCAATGCTGGTTTGCATTGTGAGCAGCTGAAAGCCACTCAGAAATTATCGAGGACACTATCTGCAGAAACATATGGTACTGTACTTGCTTTTTGGTTCTCATCAAGGCTCACAAATGTTCAAGTTTTCGCACCTTTTCAACTGTTATCCCATCTACCTAGGTTCCTAACCACGTATGTTCATCTGTGCTGCTAAGCACAATTGAAATTTCTCCTGTGCTTGTCTAAGACACAAGCTGAAGTGCAATGAAAGCTGATCTGTGCTTCTCCTAGCCTGCTCCAGAATGTAGTTTTAGCTGCTCCCAACCTGCTTCAAAACAGCTGTTTCAGCTGCTCCCGTGGCTGTTCCCAATTACATTTTATAAGTTCCACCCCTGTATCGTCATTTTCGTCCTGTATCGTCAGTTCGGTAGCTTGCAAGCTACAAAGTATAGTCTAGTTGGTTGATGAACATCTTGGTTTAAAACAGCGCGACAAGGACGAAATGAAGACGAGACAGACGACAGCGCCGGCTATCAACTGAAGGTTAGGCTGAATTCCTATGTACATGAAGCGGTGCAAATAAACTCAGTTGATGGCGCCGTCGTCTGTTTAGTATTTTCTTTGTCCTTGTCAAAGACAAGGACAAAGAAAAGAGCAATATTTATTTTACGATAATACTGCAGGCCCCGCTAGGGGTCTGCAGCTTCCTTAGCGATAGTTATGGAAAAGGCTTTGACCGTGGTTTTGATCTTGTTTTTCTATTTGTTCTCATGGTGGAGAATAGACATCAAGTGCAATCGTTTATCATTTTATGCTTTCCATGGGCATTTATTTACCTTGTATCTAAAGAAAAGAGTGATCAAGCAAAACTATTTATATCAGGCAGCCATTTTTAAAAACACATTAGTGACGAAGCAACTCTTCGTTTAAGTGATTCAAACCATACCAGTCTGATTTAAACGGCAGAAATACGATTTAATTTAAACAAATCTGATTAATTTGATTAAAAATAGCATTTTCTTCCCTGGTTTCTATGAACCTTGGCTATAGGAGCGCGAGTGATACACCATACGGAAACTACGTCCATTCCACAAGCACAAACGCAGGATAAGTGATTAGCACGTTCAAGCTTTCATTGCTCAACGCAAAAAGGCCTTAAGCAGAATGAAGGAACGTCCATTCACAAGGGTTATTGTCACATTTCGTTCAAAGCGACATCGCTGACTCGTGCTTCGCGTGCAGATCGCAGCTTCCTCTCGTATTCGGTTTCACGACTATTTTGGCCGTCTTCAAGGTTGTCAAAACGCTCAAAAGAATCACACAAAATGGGGAAACGACGTGAGGTAGATGGTAATAGCAATAATAATCGTTTATTCCCATTACAAGTGGTGGTGGGGACCGACAAAAAAAGCCGCGCTGGACGGCTTGAAGAAGCGGGGAAATTAACACAACTCACTAAAGCAAGGCACAAAGTTGTAGTACAACTTTGCAGTTCATTGCCTTCTTTTAGGGGCGGAAGCGAAATTGAGTGGCGTTCTATTTGCTAAACTTTACCTCGCGGCGAGATGTGCCCGGTCGTGACTGCTGCATTGCGGCAGTGGTCGTGGTGCCCGCCTCGACGGTTTCCCGAGGGCGCCCGCTCTGCGGCGGTGAAATCTCCGGAAACCATGGCGAGGTGAAGGGCACGCGCGTGCCTTTGTCGGAGAGACGGAGGCCGAGTTTAGCCGGTGGCTTCGACACGGACCGGTTATCGCCGCCGCGGTCACGGCAGCGCCGACGACCGATACGACGACGCGACGTCTTTGGCTCGGGGGCAATGCCAGGCTGAGTTCGGGGAGCGACTTTCGAAGACATCTCGGCAGCCGCGGTTAACATGAAACGATCTTTCTACGTTCGCTAAATGCTCCTTAGAATCACCCCTTAACGTCAGTAACTAAATAAACTTGCCTTAGTTTTTCTTTCCAAACAATAACAGTCACAGAAAAAGAAGAACAAACAAACAAACAAGAAATATGAACATAGTTTATCTCCTGACCTCGGAGCCAGAACAAGCGGCCACGTGGCCTGGTGCCTATCCTATGCCGCCAACAGTAATCATTGCCACGCGCTGGGGTTGGCAAAGCAGAAAACCCGTGCTGAGCTCCAGACATTGTTAGATTAAAGGGTCCCTGAAAAGAAAAGAAAAAAGTTTTTTGTTAAACAATTTATTTGGAACACGCGTGTCAAAAAAAAAAAAAAAAAAAAATAAATAAATAAATACATTTACGCGAAAAAAAGAAAAAAAAGAAAATAGAGCAATATTGACGGAGCGAGACGCGATTTAGTTGGTAGTCACCTCCTTTCCACTTGTGTTCTCTCTCGGCATTTCAGGCGCGTGGAGGAGAGGTGGATAGGCTTCGCCACCGTGGCTTCGCCTTCACGTGGTGGTGGAAAGGCCGAATGACCGTCTCGCTGAGCGAATGACCATTCTGTGACGTCATAGACTTTGCGCGCAGAATGTCAAATAAATTTCTCGCCGTCAATATTGCCCTAACATTTTTTTCCCGCAATTTTTTTTTTTTTTTTTTTTTTTTTTGCGAGAAAAACATTTTTTTTAGTAAACTGTGTTTTTTTTTTTTTTAGGGGCTTTTAATCGCACATTTGCGTTTAACCGCGTTTGAGTGCGTTACGGCCTGAAATAAAGGTTATTCAACAACCTTGCGACCAGAAGCTGTCGCTTACGGTACAACGCGCGTCGTCCCGCAACGCTCGGTACGCAAGGCAGTAGAGATGGTAGAGAGACTGGAGATTCGCTCAACTTTCCAAAGCGTTGTGGTGCGTTCAACCAATCAGAAGCCGAGAAAGAAGAAAAGGGTCACGTGTTCGCTCGCGCCATTTGATGATGCGTACGCGGTTCTCCGCTCGCGGAACCCGTTTCTTCATTTTGGGGGAGCGGTGGGGAATGCGCCAGCAAGTTTTTCAAAGACTGCGATGGTTCAGGCCGGACACAATAGGGAGTTTTCGTAGATCGTTTTCGCCGTCCCGCAACGCTCTTCGCAATCCGCTACGATACCATGAACTGTATACAGTCAAGGTCATCGGCGCGCAGTCGCAGTAGTGGCTTCTTCGATGCGGAGGGCTTTAGCATAGGGGGAAACGCGGTCTACGAAAACTCCCTAATGTCGGGGAAGCCAGCGGGATTGTCCCAAGATCGACCGCTTCGACGCTGTCCCCTGGCCCTATCACTGCGTGCCAACGCAACTGTGTGTACAAGCATGGCGCTACTCCTCAGCTTGCCGATACGGAACCCGCAGTGCTCAAACGCAGATGTGCGTATGGGTCTTTTTAAGTTCGGCTACTCTCATTACTGCAGTGGTTGGACACGATCCACTACCCGAGTGTTCGCCGAGGCGTTGATTGTTACGAGCCGAAGTCGAGCGCTCAGGCAGCTCTTGTCTCCAACCCATGAGCCGCGCTCGACTGTCGTCAGGTGGGTGGTTTCGAATCCACAATTACGTCATCACATTTCGCGAATGTAAGACTGAAACAAATAGACCACTTTTATCTTCGAAATTTTACCGCGACAAGGAAGCTTCAGAATCAGTGGCGGCTTGTGCGAGTATACTTAGTCCAGACTAGGACCAGTACGCCCCTGCGAAGTCAAGAACATTACAACCCGATATCGCTTCATGACCCCTCTGAGGGGGCATGAGACGATAAGAGGTTGGGCTCTTCCCCCGGTAATACTTCTTTGTCGCGGTAAAATCGCGAGGGTAAAAGGGGACTATTTCTTTCAGTCTTGCCCTCGCAAAGCTTGATAACGTAATTGTAAAATCGAAACCACCCATCTGACGACAGTCGAGTGCGGCTCAAGGATTGGACTCGAGAACTGCGTGAGCACTCGACTTGGTCTCGTAACAATCAATGCCTCGGAGGACACTCGGGTAGTGGCTCATGTCCAACCACTGCGGCGATGATAATAGCTAAACTTTAACAATGCCTAACATTCCAAACGCGTTAAAAAAATTGGGCTGTGTGCATGTTTATACAGCAAACTTAGTTTGTCTCAACAGTCGACTTTTCTTCCAGCTGTAGACGGGTGATTCCACGTCAGTTCATACAATAATTCCACGTCAGTTAAAACAATAGGGCGCCCTATTGTTGGAAGACCGGTGACTTCGCTGCGTTTCCATAGGAGTTAAGCCTTTTTTTCTTTTTTTTACTTTTTCTTTGGGTAAGTTCAATCCTTGTAAATTTTACAAAAAAAAAAAAAGGAAATCATTTATTGTGAGTAACGCGCTGTACAAAATCGTAGCGCGATATGTTAAGAAGCCGAATTTTGAGGTCGATCTAAAGAGCCTGGCCGCTACTTGAAACACCTGGTATAATTAGCGTGAGATCACGTGGCCGCTTGTTCTATAATAGAGAGTTGAGGAGGGACACCTGTTTCGTTCCTTTATTTTGCCGGCATCCGCCATTGAGCGCAAGGAAAACTAATTGGTGTTTTTGCAAGTTACTAACGTCAGGGATTAGCTTTTAGCGGTCTTCACTGAAAGTAAAAAAAAAAAAATGTTCCTCGACCCATTTTACATGTACACATCATTGAGGCACCCAAACATGTTTTCGTTGTTGCTGAACTCTCTGAAAGTTGTCCCCGAGAATGGAAGCACTGAAATGACTAAACGTGCCTTATTAATCCGATGGATGATAAGTAGAGCTACAAGTGCTGACGGGAGGAATACCTGAAAAGAAAAATCCTAGTGGCCTCAGAGGGACAGCCGAACTTTGGCAGGAGTCTCACATGTCTCACTAAGTGTCACAGGAGTGTCGTTCTCAATCTTCCCCCAAGCTTTGACCACCTTTTGTTTAAACTTGTGGGGATCGAAAAGAAGAAGAATAAAGATGCCTCGTGAGGCAGACCGAACTAGCTCGCGCTCAGGACGAGCGCGGGGTAGAACGGGCGTAGACACCAGTGAAGCGGCTGTCTTTTCTTCAGTCTCCACATTGGCGCCACAGCGTGGGGCCGGAACCCAGATTCCCGTACAGTCAGGTACGTTTAGCAGGCCTTCGCAGTCGCTGCGCCTATACAGACATTGGATTACTTCACCGCCGAGCTTGTTATAGTGACCGTTAAAATGTCAACTTCGCCCCCGCTTACGCGATCCCGTAGCCGCCCCAATGCAGCGAACACAGCTCGTGCTACCGCGACTGGTGATGGAGCGGAGGACTTGCGACCGGGCTCTGATATACCCACAGCAGACTTGGAGGTTCCATTGCCCGCTGAGAGCCTTTCCCCACCGGTGCCGCTTGCACCTCTCACCGCGTTGGGCCCATTGCCAGAACAAATGGCATTGTTCCTGGCGGAGATGTCGCGGCTCCTGCAGGAACAACGCCGTCCGCTACCACCCTTAGTTCCAACACCTCGGACGGGGACATTGCGTTTACATGCCGAGATTCCGAAATATTCAGGCTACGCAGATAGAAAATCGGTTGCTGATTTTCTTGACGAATTGCGTGAATACCAGGCGGTGTCTGAAATGTCTGAGGTTGAACTTCTATCACGCGTACTGCCGATCGCCCTCACGGGAAGCGCCGCGACATGGCGTCGGAGACAATCACCCTTCTCGACGCTACAAGACTTTTCGGAGCAGTTCAAAAATGAATTTCTGCCTCCCGATTACGGCGCGCGAATGCTCGATGAGCTTAGGGCGCGCACTCAGCACCGCGACGAGTCCCTAGTCGAGTTTGTTCGGGCGCTCCAAACTCTCTATGACAGGGCTGACCCTAGTGCGTCCGACTCAGACAAAGTGTCGCGGGCTATCCGGCAAAGCCACCCGCAGTTTCATCCCTACCTGCGTGGGCGGGTGTTCCGGAGTTTGGACGAGTTGGCCCAAGCAGCCCACCAGATCCAGGCGGACATCCTGGCCGAACTAAGATATCGGCCTCCTCCACCGCCGGAGGCTTGCCTGGAACCGTCCTGCGCTTGGACAGGCACGACCAGGCAATCCATGGACGAGCATGGGTCACGGCCAGTTCTCCCCGGAAGGGTACCCCGAGCGCTGGACCCTTACACCCACGGACTGGGCGATGGTGCTCAAGTCCGCGAGCATGGCCGCCAATACCAAGCCCCATCCAGAGAGCGATACCCAAGGGCCACCTCAGCTACTCTCCGCTGCTTCCGGTGCGGAAGTCTCGGCCACTTTCGCCGGGACTGCACCCGGCGGGTTTCAAACGACAATTCGGGAAACGAGGTAGGCCGCCGATAGCAGGGCCCTGTCTGTCGGTGGCTTCTCCTTGTTACAGGCCCTCGGTCACCCCACCGTCTCGGTTCTTCAGCAGTCTCGGCCCAGCCTCACGAGCAGCCCCGCCGGGGGCCTCCTGTGATGAGCCCGATGTTGCAGCACCTGGTGTGGCGCCCGCTCGAGCGCCCGATGACGCTCCCGCTCCCGGATTACGCGGCGACGCTCTCGCAGGCGCTCGCGGAGATGCCCCAAGTCCCGGCGTGGCGCCCGCTCGAGCGCCCGATGACGCTCCCGCTCACGGATTATGCGGTGACGCTCTCGGCGGCGCTCGCGGAGATGCCTCCGGTAGTACCAGCGCCGGTGCTTTCCCCGAGGCTTCCCACGGAGCGGTTCTCGGTGGCGTCCTGGTCCCCGACGAGACAACTCCGGAGAACAGACGTGACGACAACGGCTGCTCGCAGGAAGTGGCAGCGGCGTGGCCGCCCGTCGTCCACCCACATGCCAGAAAAATGGCTGATGCGACCACACCAGCGCGGCCTTCTGGAAAACCCGTAGACAAGTGTATGGCCCGTGCGGTCCAACCGGAACCCCGTGCCCACTACCGAACGGTGACCTGGGCGGGTCTACGAGACGTGACAATCCTCAGCATTTCATTGATCATGGGAATCCTAGCGACCATGGTATCATGGGTGAGTCGGCTGAAAGTCTATGACAAGCTACTTCGAATTTATAGGTTCCGTCCAGTCACGTACTTTATACCATCCCTTGACGCTATGCGTCACGAAAGTAGAGGTATAACAGAACCCTACATTGTGGTTAACATTGCCGGTCAACAGATCGCAGCTCTCTTGGATACCGGAGCTGCAATTTCACTTTTTGGAGACTTCGTTAGAAAATTGTGCAAAGACCGGAACATCTCAATGCGGCGTTCTCAGAGAGAGCTCCGTACGGCATCTGACCAACTTATCTCCGTCACTGAAGGAGCTCGACTGAAGCTGAGCTTTGATGGGCGACAATGTCGACAACATTTCACATATCTGCCGGGTCTCGCCTGCCCTATTCTTCTCGGTCGAGATTTCATCTCCAGGGAAAAAATAGTCCTAGATTTGTCAGCAGAAGAATATCGATATGGCTCGCAGTCCGCTACTTTCAAGTTTGCAGTCAGACCAATGCCTACGGCAGCTCGTCCTCTAGAGGGTACAATATGTGAGAGATTCCCCTCCTCGGGGTATCTGCACGTGGCAATGAAGTCATTTTCTGGCACCGACTCGGACCGTTCACGTATAGCGAAGCTTTTGGAGAATTTCTCACATATGTTTACAGAAACACCTGGGAGGACTAACATCCTCGAACACCGAATTGATACTGGAGACACTCCGCCTATCCGAATTAACGCGCGGCCCCTAAGTGTTCACAAACGTACACTCCTGGACGGAGCACTGAATGAGATGATTCGGACCGGAGCCGTCCGTCCCTCGAAAAGTCCATGGGCTTTTCCGGTTGTGTTAGCACCCAAGAAGGATGGCACCGCACGCCTCTGCGTAGATTACCGTCCTCTGAACGCGGTCACGAAGCGAGATGCATACCCCTTTCCATCAGTCTCGTCTGTTTTATATGCACTGGGGTCTGCACGGATATTCACAACCCTCGTCTGTAGTAGGGGATTTTTGCAAATTCCCGTAGCAACAGATGACGTCCCTAAAACAGCATTTGTTTGCCCCAGGGGTCTGTTCGAATTTGTCCGACTCCCCTTCGGCCTATCTAACTCCCCTGCGAGCTTCCAGAGGCTCATGGATACAGTCTTGGGTGATGCAAAGTTTAACTATGCAATGGCCTACATTGACGACGTAGTAGTGTTTTCTAGTACTATCGAGGACCACCTTCACCATTTACAGGTCGTCCTGAAGCGCATGAGTGAAGCTGGTCTCACGATTAACCCTTCAAAAGTGCAACTTGCATCACCCAAAGTGGAGCTTCTTGGCTTCGTGGTCGACCAAGGATCGCTCCAGCCGCAAGCAGAGAAGCTCAGAGCAATTATAGAATTTCCCCGGCCACGAGACAAAAAAAGTTTACAACGGTACCTTGGCATGGTGGGATTCTACCGCGAGTTTATTGCCAACTGCGCTGATTTGGCCCGGCCCCTTCACCAGCTATTACGCCGGGAAGTTCCATGGACCTGGACTTCCGCTCAGGAACAAGCGTTTAAAGCGTTAGCAAATGCTATTGCGGATACTGCGTCTCTGAGACTTCCTAATCTCAATGCTCCATTCGTCCTCCAAACGGATGCCAGTGATTACGGTATAGGTGCAGTATTACTCCAAGAACATAACGCAGCGTTGCGGCCCGTTGCATTCGCGAGTCATACTCTCACCGCGGCCGAATGTAACTATACGGTAACCGAAAAAGAATGTCTAGCTATAATATTCGCTTTGCGAAAGTTTGACATGTACCTAGATGGAGCGACCTTCACCATCCAGACTGACCATCAAGCATTAACATGGCTGAAAAACCTTAAACACCCCGCTGGACGCCTTGCCCGCTGGGCTCTGGCTTTACAGAAATATGATTTTTCCATTGAATACAAACCGGGAAGGTTCAATGTCGCAGCAGATGCCCTGTCACGAGCACCCCTACCCCCCCGAAAAGCGGATGACACAGCGGAACTCGTCGCTGTTGCTGACGCTGAAGTCTCCTGGGGTCTTTCTGTGAGCCGGGACGAGCTACGAGAAGCCCAGCAAAAAGACGACATGTGCCAAAAGGTATCTCGGTGCTTGACTCAGCCCCATCAAACCGATGGAAACAGGACGTATGGGTCGGTAGACGCATATGTACACAGCGAGGATGGACTCCTCCTTCGCTACATACCGCAGGCAGACGAAGCCGACCCCACAACGTCCCCTTTTCGTGTGGTCGTACCCCGTACATTAAGGCAAACTTTCCTCCGGTATTTTCATGACAGTGCGCTAGCGGGCCACAGTGACGGTCAGAAAACCTACCAGAAACTGTGTCGCGTTGCCACTTGGCCGAGGATGCGCCAGGATGTTCTCCGCTACACACGCAGTTGCCTACGTTGCCAACAAGCCAAACCCAGGGGAGGTAAACCCCCTGGTTTGATGCAGTCAGTGGAAAGTCGTTATCCATGGGAGATTGTTTCATGTGACATAATGGGCCCCTTTCCACGCAGCCCCAAAGGAAACAGGTATCTCCTGGTAGTCACCGACCACTTCTCAAAGTGGGTGGAGCTTCACCCTCTCCGCCAACTGAGTTCCAGGACCATTTGGGACAAATTGAGGGACACCTTCACCCGCTTCGGGTTCTGTTCCCAATTAATTTCCGACAACGCATCCTACTTCACAAGTAAGGTTTTTGAGGACTGTTGCGCAACACTGGGCATCCAGCACAAGTGCACCACTCCTTACCACCCTCAAGCCAACATAGCTGAGAGGGTCAACCGGAACCTCAAAGCAATGCTAGTGGTATACACCGAGAGACATAAAGACTGGGACAATTACATCCCGGAAATGGCTTTCGCCACTCGAACTACGGAGAACCGTACGACAGGGTTCACACCTTCCCAAATAAACTTCGGACGCGAGCTGCGATTTCCCCTCGAGAACAGCTTTTCCGACGATAATCGAAGACCAAACACCTCGTACGCGAGATTCGCTGAACAACTTCGTGATAAAATCACCGACGCTGTGCGAGTGGCTCGACAAAATATTGAGTTAGCGCAGCTCGATCAGAGGAACCAATATGACCAAGGCAGGAGATCCCTAGAATTTTCAATAGGCGACTGCGTTCTCCGGCGCGTGCACCCGCTTAGTAATGCAGCAAAGGGATTCTCGGCATCACTAGCTCCTCGTTGGGAAGGTCCCTTGGAAGTTGTTTCACGGGTATCACATTTGGTGTATAGGTTACGACATGTCGAAGACGGGTCGTTAACTGGACCCGTTAACATTTGTGATCTGAAGCCGTTTGTTTCTAGACATGTCACCCTTTAGGGATGTCCTAAGAAACACAGTCCCCCGTCAATTTTTGCCACACGAAAGATTGTTGCTCATGGTTATTTTCTATCCAGGCATGCCACCTCGACGCAGCAACACCCACGGGGCCCACGGGGCCACTCGCGCCGCGCCAGGCGACATAACCGCCGTCAGCAACCGCCACGCACTGCCGAGGCTGCCACCTGGTGCGTGATGGAGGCCGGTCGAATGGTCACATTCGCGTCCCGGATGGCCTGGGAACACCAACCTCAAGTGCCACAAGGGACTGCACCAGAAGACGTTCCCCATCCCTTCCGGCGACGGACACTGACGGAGCGCTGTGCTGCAGATCTACCCGCCGCCTACGACGAGGAAGAATATGCCGACATCTGTGAACTTTGCCGCGTCCCACTCATTTCATGCGAACAACATCATCAAGGAGCACTTCACCACGACCGAGAAGACCGCCAGCGGGCGCTGGTGCGAGCTGAATCACGGGCCCTTACACCTGCCGACATCGAGGCCGCCCTCCTTATTGTTGGCCGTGCCTGCCCCGAACGCCTGCGCCGAACACTACCCTTACCACCAGAACTGGCGAACATCAGACTCAGCGACGACGAAATGTAACCAACTGATTAGGAAACTCCCTGCCCCCCCCCCCCCCCCCCCCCCCCCCCCTGCCAAGAGGGGGATGATGTGGGGATCGAAAAGAAGAAGAATAAAGATGCCTCGTGAGGCAGACCGAACTAGCTCGCGCTCAGGACGAGCGCGGGGTAGAACGGGCGTAGACACCAGTGAAGCGGCTGTCTTTTCTTCAGTCTCCACAAACTTCACGGTTTTGGGGTGCAAAATAAGAGAAATGGAGGATTACACAAATGACACAAATATAATTGTCAAAGAAACCCCCCCAAATGCAGGTGAGAGTCTCTTGGGAATAAAAAAAGTATTACCTGGAAGAGCATCGAAAAAAGAAAAGAAAAAAAAAAAAAAAAGGGGGGGGGGGCGTGTAAAACATACGTGTTGTAAAGGTTCTCTATGGTCCGCATCTTCGGCACGGACCACAAACCGTGGTCCAGGAACCTACTCTTTTTGCAAAAACACTCCTGCCAGAAAGTGCGATTTCGTGGAGCCAGCTAGACGTGCGCGCCGTTCCTCACAACACTGCACCAAGTAAGAATAGTTTGTGTCTCTGGAATACATGGCTCTCGCTGAGGGGGAACCTTCTGTGGCATGCATTTTGCACCACCGGATTTGATT